GAATCATAAAATTAGGCGTCCCCCTATGCTTTAACGTAGATGCTTTCATGGAAATGTTTTCACATCAAATGTCGTTCACATAGACAAAGTTGTCACCTTGAACTGCCGTGGGAACCAGCACCATTTTTAGGCATTCGCCGTAGTGTTCTCTGAAGGCACTGGAGGTTCGCGGAAGGAACTTGGTAAAGGGTCGGCTTTGAGCTCCGGAAATGACCTGTTCGAGTGCTAAAATGTGAATTCCGTTGAGCAAGGTATTCATCCCATATTGCTTGGTGCAACCAGCAGATAAAAGGGTAACAATCTGAGACAAAGGTCCAGGACATTATCTTGGTCTGGAGTGGTCGTTCCAGCTAATAAAAGCGTCTCTTTGAGTTAGCGATTCTTGACCAAGCACGTAGCTGACTACACATCCTGATAATCAGCACACAGTGTGAACACAAAAAGCATAATAAAGAGCTACTATAAGGCTTATTATATAACAGACGGGTAAACTACAAATTAATCTGCTGAAATGAAGAACTTGGCAATTTATAGTTATTTGTAGGTGGAATTTTTTACAGCTGAACAGTACAATCTGTACAAATATTGCAACAATTACCCAGTTACACCATGCATGTCATTACATCTTACTGTACTAATTTCGATGTATTTAAAAGCTGGTTAATGTAATTAACTTAGTCCCTCCCTGGCGTCACTTTCAAAAAAAATGATATTTTTGAATTGATCAAGATAATCCCGATGTTTTGGGGAAAATTTCGATACCACCACTGAACATATCACAATAAAAGTAAATACTGGAGCGAAACGGCGAAAATGTACAGCGGAAGGAAAAATTTATTACTCACTTTACACCAGCAGCTCTACCGCATCCCTGCTTGCTTACAGACGCAATGGGAGGACCATTTAAGCAGGTGACGGTTCCATGGTACCTAAGCGCCTGCACTGCATAAAAGCATGACCGATAATCTGATTTATTTGAGGAACTCGGAAATGAAAAAATTTGCAGAAATCTCATTCCCATGATTTGCAAAAATGCAATTGCTTGAGTGAAGCTTCACGAAAGCACAAGTTTGTTCAAAATCGAAAACTGGTTCGACAGGGAGATGCTATATAACCGAAGTTATTCACTGCAGCCCAGAAGTTTCAAGACACTCCGTTTAGAAAATTAGGGCCTGGACGTAAATCGGCACTACTTGCGGTTTGAGGACGCCATTCTGATCCTCTTGATGACAGAGAAGTACTCCAAGGAAGAACCGAAGAGCTGAAAGAAAAGACATTATGATGTAAGTGGAAATGAAAATAAACGTGAAGAAGCCTGACGTCATGTTCAGCAAGAACTTCACCGCGAATATGCTGAAATCAAAGGTCTTCGCATCAACAAGTGCAAAAACAGTTTTTTGGATAAC